CCCTGCGCCCCTGCCCCAGCCGTCGGCGTCGCGGCTCCGCGCGACCGTGTCTCCGCCGGACCGTCCCCATCCGCCCGCTGACCACTGACCGCCAGCTCGGCCTCGGCCCCATCCCAGGTAAGCCAAATCGATATCCGGCACCGTTGTAGCGAAAGCCCTGGATCCATTTGATGCCAATCCAGCCTCTGCCGCCCCTCCCAGTAGCAGACACCATCGCTTCTCTTGCTCCCCAATCCTCACCCTTTGGAATTCGCTGACAACACGATTGGCATCCTGTCCCGCCACACCCACAAAGGATTCACCGCTGGGAGATATTTTGCTCCTCGCTGGCCAGCAGTACCTCCGACGATTCAAGGTCTGTACATTCGTTTGGTTTATTCTCACGGAACTGCAAGGTCTAAAGCTGTCTCCAACGACATTACCCAGAATACAAACCCATTTTACGTTGGTAGTGCTACGGGTAAAGGATTCCGTATCTATCTTTAGTCTTCTTCAACAACAGAATACAAAAGAAAATCCTTTATGTAAATGAGTCTCTAAAAGAGAGGATACTCATATTTGAGGAACTAGAAGAGAGGATACTCATATTTGAGTTGTACCTTTGCTATAACCCAAAATAGATCTCACATATAGATACTTTGTTGGAAACTGATACACCACCATTCGAAATCCATTTTGAATATAAGTGTCCATACGAGACAACCATTAGAGACAGTCTAACGTAGCAATGTTTGAGACTCAATCCCAACTACTGTGGGAGATTATTTAATTATTTCTTCCCTGTACATTCTTTTGGTTTATTCTCACGGAGCTGCCATGTACTGTAGCAATGTTTGAGACTCAATCCCAACTACTGTGGGAGATTATTTAATTATTTCTTCCCATAGTAGCATTAATCTTCAATTTTGGATCTTGTAATGATTCTGCCAAAAATGCATTGCGTGTTATGCTGCAATGCATGGGTGCTATGGTGGGAGAACTGCACAATCCGTTGCTGATGCTAGCGATTATTTGTGCTCATCAAAGTAGTATAATATAATGATTATATCGAGAAGTATACTGGGATTACAATGTGTAAAAGTTGAAATATTCCACAGGAATATACATCTAGCAACACCAATATAAATGTCTGATATGCCACCTGCTCGTACACTGCAGGGTGTGTTACCGATTGCTTTGTCAAATTAGGCATGGAATTGTAAAATTTAATGTCACGTCTTGTTTATATGTGCTTCTGAATTGAGCTCAGTTATACGCCGAATATAGTATCTTGACCGAATAGAGTCTCTTGATATAGAATATCAGTTTTTAGACTTTCTCCTGCTGTAGTGCCAGGTTCAAAATGTTGGCTTGCTTTGAACAACAGCAGTTCAAATATAACTGTACTTTCTCCTACTGTAGTGCCAGGTTTTCTTGAAGTGCCTTTCTATAAACAAATACAAATTTAGCTCTTTTTTCTTGTTCAAAGTAGAACAATGATTTGTTTTAACTTTTAACAGCTCTCGGTCACAATTCACAAATCCTTGTTTATCTGTTTTTTTAGTTTTTGAATTTGAAAGGGCAGCCTGTGTTGGGGGCATGCTGCAGAACCAATGTTGGTGGATTTCACATTACTAATTTTCAGGGGCAGCTTCTCTCTCTAAAATATCCTTATCACACATAGGTGATAGCAGTATACTTCTGAAGTACTTCACAGTGTTTGTTTTTCCTACCATGTAACAGTACCATTTTACATTGAACAGGGCAAGTATTACATGGGAAAAGGCTGAAGAGCTGAAGAAGAAGCATTGTTATATAGCTCTTGATTATATGGCAGAGTTGCGGATATCTAAAGTATGAATCTTGTATATATTTTTCTGTTCTTATATAAAGCTTTGAATTCTTGCATTCTTGTTTTAAATGAATTTGTATAAACTGTATAGGGCTCTGGGAGGTAAATGTGTTTGGGAGCGCTTGCATTTTTGGAACAGCAACGGTAAGTGGACATTGTGCCAAATTTCTCATGTTTGATCGATGTTGTGTTTGTGTGCTTATATATTGGATGGCAATTCTAAGCTACAACGAACTTCATTTGGAGAAGCATGAATCTTCAGTTAATGCTGTGGAAGATGAGAATTCAGATTCTTTGATCACCGAGTCTATTTCGGACTTCATGCTTCCAGCCTGGTTTCGAGGTGATTGACATCTCATCCATATATTGCACAGTAGTCCAGCCAAATGTTTCATAGTGAATCATCATGCTTTAAAAATTTCGGTTTGGAAGCTCTTTCTATATATATCATTTGAGTGAGTTGTTTTTTTTTGTCATACCTTTGTAAACAGTTTAGGTTGGGAGTTCTGTATATCATTTTCATCTAATGTAATAATAGCAATAAATGCTGGTATTACGGTAGCTTGATTTTGCCTAAACTTATATCAGCTGCTGTCAAAACTTTATATCTGTACCTTTATAGAAAATTTATTAGAACTCTGTTGTTCGCCTGCAACACGCATCGAAGGACCTGCCTAGGTTCCTTGACGCACGAGACAAATTTATCTTTTGCTATATACCAGTACATAGTTGCAGGATATAGCATGTTAACAGGAAAAGTGTTTTCTGATTTTTCAACAGAATATAAAATTTACATTCTTTTATTTATTCTTACTGTGGAGCCCACTTTATTTGTAACTTCTAGCTTGTATTTAGATTTATTGCTGACCAAGTGATTGGTAGGGTCAAGTTACCAGTTTTTTTAGAAAAAGGGTCAAGTTACCAGTTGGCCTTCTGATTAAAGAGGTTAGGCTATTGTTAACACTACGCTTCTGTATGTACATGTGAAAATTCTTAATAGGGAGCTGTCAGCTTATATTGTTTTCTATTTCTTTGTAGTATGCTTTTGTATATGAAAAATGTATATAAACACATTGTCTTTAAACATTTTTAAAAAAGAGAGATTACTTGTAATGTTATTTTTACACATAACCATGTAGAGTTATATGTTATTTGTATTGTCTTTTTTCAATTTTTATAACATATTTTATCTTGAGGCAGCACCAGACCTTAGTGTGTACTTGTGGATGTGGCAACATGGATTGTATTGTGGAGTTGCTCAGGTGAATGACGAGACGATGACCACCCTTATGGGCAGTCCTGGATCTGCTTGATTGGAAATTTGTAATGGTGGCAAGGAGGATAGGGGAAAAGGGGGTGACGAAACGTGCGATGCATTTTGGAGAAGAGAAGGAAACCAATTTGCTTTTCACACCGTTATTCTCATTTTTTTAAATTTATGATAGCAGTCTGATATAGATTTGATTAGGGTGATTGACTGGTCTTAATATTTTATATAAGAAAAGAAACTTAATGTAATGCTGGCTGAATGTATATTAACATTCCATGAACCCAGTGCTGATAGATTCGAAATTATTTAGGTTGAATATTTTAATCTGATATAATACAATTACAAGATACATTTTTTTCATAAACTTTAAGGGTTGAATTTGTAACCTTGAGTAAATGTGTGTTTTCATCTTTGTAAAGTGTATTAGTCATGAACTCAACACTTTTATTAAAGAAAAAACATTGCATTTCCACTGGTACTTTAAAAAATACCAATAAAACTGTAAAAATATCGATCTGCTAGCTTAGTAGATCCCTCAGTTCTAGAGATCTATACCATTACAATTAACATGTTTCTACCATTTTAATTCAAATATTTGGTGCAAAACCATTATAATATGTGAGAAATTGGAATCATGACATGCTATACATCTAGGACAAACTTTGACCCATTTTTTATTTACCACATATCCATGTGGACCAAAATACCCATGTCGTCTTCCTTCATCCCCTCTACCGTGCCCAACCACATCCCTCCGCCATTCCAAACACACATGCAGAGGAAGCAGGGAGGCTGCTTGGTCATGCCATGGAGGAGGGGGTGACCTACGCATGGAAAGCCTTCGGCCACGGAGGGAGATCCCGTACGACCATCGCAGATCCTGCATAGAGGAAGGAGTGAAGAGGCCCACGCCCGTCGTGCCTTCCCCGCCAGTGAGAGCTCGCCCACAAGAGAAAGGGTAGCTCTTTTTTTATAGCTACTTCAATTCTTTCAGCTCCTTCAAATGAAAGTTTGGATCCATAATTGTGAGATTATGTGTATCTTATAGGAATTAAATAGCATGATGTATCAAACTACTTGGGTAAATATTGCAGTTCCCAACAACAGTTAACAAAATTCACATGTAGAGATAGATGATCTGATCTCTTCAACAAAGAAACAAAGTTACGGTACATGAACATGGGGGGGTTAAGAAATAAACAAATCGGCAATACCTGAACATAAGGAACAAGTGACACAAGCAAAGACATTGACGAGGGAGCAAGCTGGTGGCGGTATATATATTATATACAACGTGCAGCATGCTTGCTGCCTTCCTCTTGCTGGATCACCACGACTTTGTTAGCAACACTCCTCAATCGATTCACAGAACAGCTTGATTCAACTGCATTCAGAGTACACAACCTCCGGGGAAGGGAGGTTTGGAGCAAAGCAATCTAGGAAGGGGAATGGAGGACAGGACTGGGAGGAGGATTGAACTAACTAGAGACTACTCAGACCTAGAGAAGGAGAACGAGAGAGAGCAGGGAAGAAGAACAGTAGCAAGATATGGAGACGAGTTGTATTCTGAATCTTCGATCCGCTCCTTGGCCTGCACGGTTCCCCTTTTGTAGCTGGAGCCCCCACTTGCCAACCTGTCTAGGGCCCACATGGCAGTATACTGACATTCCCCTCTCCTTGAATTGCGGCTTGCCCCTAAGCCGCGCATATGATTGTGCTATTTGAAGTCCCTAATTGTGCGCACTGAGCAACTACTATGAGCACGAGGTCCATCACCAAGTCTCTTGAGAGCAGCAACTGCAGCTTGAAGCTCAACACCACAATAGAAGAAGGGCAAGCAGCTTCAGCTAACTGATCAGCCAACTTCTGACGTCTTTCAGATATAGCCCTCTTTAAAGCCTAAATGTCAGCTGTGGTTAGAGTTCCCTGCGGTTTGGCATCAGCAGCAATCCGTTCTACCTCATCCAAGGAATCCATTGCGGCATCTATTCCTCTTTCAGCTAGCAGAACAGCAAGCATGTTAGGGAATTTTGTGGACCATTGCCATATTTCTGATGGTTCCTCAACAGAAATCGCACTTTCCAGGAAGAAGAAATGCTCCTGCTCGGCAAACTCCTCGGCATCTCCAGTGCTCACTGCGTGCTGCTCCTCAAGATTACTCTTGTTACCAAGCATCATGATCACAATGTTATCGACGGCCTTGGCTTGTGCATCTAGCCACCGGGGTATATGATGGAAGCTCTGGTGGCTGGGGATGTCATAGAACAGCAAAGCTCCCAGTGCACCTCTGTAATCAGCACTTGTCACAGCTCTGTACCTGATTTGTTGGCGAAGTTGTATAGGCCATGGGGGCTTCCAAAGGCGACCACAGTGACATCTGACAGAGCACCTCGCCACCAAGAAAGATGGCCATGGTGGAGGCCTAACTGTGGTTGGCATGGTGGTGGAGGCGAGGTCGAGGATAGGGTGGCCCGGTTTGGGGACGGAAGCTTTAGGCGCCCTCGATTGGTCGGAGATGGCGCAGAGCTGGAGCGTGGTGAGGACGTGAGCCTTGCCGCGGAGCGAAAGGCGGGTTGGGGTCTGCTGCACGCACGAGGATGGCGCGCCGGGCCTCGTCGCGGCCGCGGAACATGTCGACGATGGGCAGGGAGACCGCGGCGGATGTGGCCTTCGCCTGCAGAAGCTCGTCGGCCGAGAAGATGAAGGACTCCGGAAGGGTCGCATCGGCCTCCTTGTCCAGGAAGACGCGCTTGGGGTCGACGGAGAGGCAGAGTCTCCTGACGAAGACGAACCCTGCCGGATCGGCACCCGTCAGGCGGAGGACCGCGGCGCCCAGGAGTTTGTCGTTGGCGGAGACGATGCAGTGCTCGAGTTTGGCCATGTAGGACACCGGGGCCAGTCCATGGTTGTCTCCCAGAACGCGCCGACAGGAATGTCGGTGAAGTTGCGGTCGCCGGCCGGGCGAACCGTCGAACAGGTGGCCTGCGCTGACCTCGCAGCCACCACCCAAGCCAACAGCCCACCACCTGCTGCTCCTACAGCATCGGCACGGAGTGCGGCAGCCGTTGCGGGTGCCTGGCCAACGCGACCGACGGCTCGGTCGAGCGGCGCGTCGAAGTAGGCGACGCCGGACTCCGGGTCGTCGTCGAGGGAGCCGTCGTAGCCCACGAGCAGGGTAGCGCGGAGCACGCACTCTACGGGGCCGAGGCGGACGCAGCGGAGAAGGCCGGGGTCGTCAGCCGCGAAGTGGTTGTTGAGCCGCTATACGTTCACGCCGACGAACACGAACTCGTCGCCGCCGTGGCCCGCGTTGGGGTTCGCCAGCAGCGCTATGAGCTGCGGATTGTACGTCTCCTTGTGCAGCTCCAGCTTCGCCAAAATGCACCCGATGGGGCCCACGCCCTGCACCATCATTGACGGGCGCCGAGCTCGTAGAGGCGGCCGGGGTCCTGCACGGCGTCCTGCTCGAACTGGTCGGAGCGCACCAGCGACACGAACGGAGCGGCGCGCCAGAGAGGCCTCCAGCGGCGGGAGAGTACCCCTGTGCACGCGGCATCCTTGATTGGAAGACGGGAGACAATGTCGCCGAGGAGCACGTCGGGAAGAAGGCTGGGGCGGTCGAGGGTGTGCAGGGACCGGCGGGTCTCCTCCGTCTCTGACTCGACGCTATCGCGACGGTCTGGATCCCCACGGAAGACGCGCGCGGAGCTGGTGACGGGTTCGCGGAGGCGCGGCGTGGAACAGGCGGGGTCGTCGAGCTTGGCGCGGGCCGCCGCGGGGTCGGGACCGGGCTCGACGGTGGAGACAGCCTCCCGGTCGTCGAGCTACTCGAGGGCGCCGACGCGGAGCTCCTCGACGGCATCCCGCGGCTCCCTCAGCGGCGGAGCGTCGAGCGCTTCGGGGAAGGCGCAGGCAGCGTCGAGCGGCGTGTCGGGATCGGTGGAGGTGACGAGCGCGTCCACGGGGACGGCGCCAGAGTCATCGTTGCAGGAGGGAGTGCGTCCGCGTGCGAGCTGCTGCAGCCTGGCGAAGCGCCGGTCCCAACGAGCATCGGACTCGTCGAACTTCCTGTGGATCTCGTCGAACGTCCTGCAGAGCGTGTTCGGCTGGCTGGTTCGGATCGTGAAGAAGTACTGCTGGCCTGGTTTATATGAGAGAAAAATAATATTTTAATTGAAAATTTACGATCGTTTACGATGAGCTACAGCCAAAGAAACGGGCTAGAATTCATCGAGAAGGAGTTGGGTAAAAAGAAAAATCTGGGTAGTGGGATTCACGGTGCAGTGACAAAAATCTACTAGCTCCCACACGAATAGTTAGCCATACTCCTTAATCGATTCACAGAACAGCTTAATTCAACTGTAATCAGTACACAACCTTTAGGGAAGAGAGGTTTGGAGCAAAGCAAGGAAGGGGAACGGAAGACAGGATTGGGAGGAGGATTGAACTAACTAGAGACAACTCAAATCTATAAACTCGTGGCCAAGGCACTGCGGCTGGCTAACCGGGTCTCGGTCTACGCGGCTATCTTCCGGTCATCACGGTGATGCTACGGCTACTTCCTAGTCCGGCGAGGTGGCCGGGTGCGCAAGTGGTGGCCGCGCCATGACGGCGGCGTCGTGAGCGCGGCGTGCGCGTGCTCTGCTACGGAGAGAGCGGGGGGAGATTTAACTTTTTACCATTATAAAAAGATTGTCTCCTCAGATAGCATCTCAACGATTGCTGCTATATTTTTACCGACAAAAACAGAAAACAGATAAAAAATATCATTTTTGCTCATGTAACACGTCAGCCTTTACGCCAGCAGGAATCCAAGTCAGCGTACGGACATCAAATGTCTCTTCTACCCCTGCTCTCTTCCTACTCCCAGCACGTTCATCATCGGTGTCATAGGATCATGCTGTCGTCCGTCGTCGCCTGGCCCTCGGGGAGCCGGTCGATGGCGTGCAGCGCCGAGGCCAGCATCACCAGCGACACCACCATCCCGCCAGGCTTTTCGAGAAGCGGCGGCTGCCTCCGCCCGACGCGGTCGAGGAAGAACGTGGCCACCAAGATGAACAGCGTCTTGGGACGCGCCACACGCCATGGTGGCGCCGGGGAGTTGTTGTCCGACTGAGCCCGGCCTTCTCGAACACCCGCGGGCTGTACTCCCGCGGTCGATGCGAAAACTCTTTGCTGAAGCGGAGGCCGAGGCGGCGATTAGTATCTGGCGGGACGGAACGCGTCGGGCGGATGAGGAGGTCCCTCCACACCCCTTCGCCGTGGCTGCCACTGCTTGCTCCTACGGGCGACGACTACCATGTCGTTGTCGCGCCGACGCCATCCGGGATGCCGATAGCCTTCTTGATGTTGGCAAGCCGCTCCTCGGCCTCGGCGGGAGTCGGAGGTCTTAGCAAGACCGCGCGCTGCTGCGTCGCCGATCGCCTCGCATGACGAGCCACCGCATGGCGACTCGGCATGGCGAGGATGCCCAGAGAGAGAGGAAGAGCGGCGGGATGGCACCGACGAGGAACATGACGAGCGGTGAGGTGCGGGGGAGGCCGTGGAAGGCGAGTTGGAGACGTACCGAGGAGCACCCCCATTGATGAACACCTCCGTCCTCCGGGGAAGGGACGGAGAGCAGCCGCACCGACGGGGCGCGACCTTGGCGTGTACGTACACGGGCGCGATCATGGCGTGTACGGCGTCGACGCCCGCCACGAAGCGGCCCAAAGATGAGGATCCCGTAGCTCGGCGAGGCCCGTGATGAGCGCGCCGCGAAGAAGATGGCGCCGCCCCGGCACCATGGTGTACCGCCGGCCGATCCAGTCGGACGTCCGGCCCGCCGCGAGCGAGCCGACGAGCGAGAAGATGTTGATGATGCCGGCAAGGACCTCGATCTCCGTGTCCATGATCTTGAGGTCCTACTTCATGAATAGCTGCGCTCCGCTGATCACCGACACGAGTGCATGGAATTGTATGCGTCATGTCATGCGTGCACGTACCGTAGCCGAGGAGGATGCAGTTCATGGAAGCGGTGTCGGCACGACGCGGCTGTGGCGAGCTCTCTAGGGTGCGCGAGACGGCGGCCACGACGAGCTCCGTCGGGCACACGGAACAGCGGCTGCGGCGAGCTCGATCAGGGCACGCGAGGCGGCAGCCGCGACGAGCTCCACCGGACGCACGGGACAACGGTTGCGGACGAAGAGTGCACGGAGAGGCGGACTTCCGACCCGCGCACGCACCAGCCCCTACAGGTCTTCGTCCGCCCCGGACCCGGCCATGCCGCCGACTCCGGTGCAGCCACGCCGTCGGGAGTTGCTCGCGCCCACGCCGTTGTCCGCATGGCAGAGCTCGCCGCGACGTCAATAGTCAACTGCATCACTGCTTGGAGGCGAACGATGTAGACGCGACGGCTGTGCATGCGGCCGAAGCTCGCGCCCCCACCCCTGCACATCGTCGTCAACTTCCTTGGCGAACGACTTCGTCCAATGCCTCTCTGCGGCCACGGTGAGCCAGCTCGTGTTCCTGCGGAGCTCGAGCACGTGGCACCGACGCATCATCCATGGTCGCATCCTTTGGAGACGGCCGCGCTTCCCTCGCGCTCTCCTCTATCGAGCCCGCGCGCTCGAGGCACTCGGCAGCCACGAGCTCGCCCTTGCCGACGCGCTCGGACCCGGCGTGCCCGCCTAGGCCGCCCTTTCTCTCTCCACTGGCCGACTATAGGCCCCTGCAGGAACCAGACATGGCCATGCCCAACGACGGCCTTGTCGCGGCTGTGTGGTTGCCATCGGCGGCCTCGGACAGCAAGTGCAGGCGTCGTCGCCGTCGTTGGGCCAGGGCACGTTCTGCCACGTTCTAGGCTGTGAGCGTGGGCACCACTTGATCGCGAGTTGCCGCGGCCGCCAGGAGCACGGGGTGAAAATGCCAGCTGCGTGGGTGGAGAGGAAAAGGGCAGGAGGGACATTTCATACGTCCTGCTGAATCGAATCCACGCAGGCGTGAGGAGCTGGTGTGCCACGCAAGCAAAAATGGTAAATTTGTAGCTGTTTTCTCTCTGGACTAGCGAAAATATATTGGCATCCGTTAAAGTGTTATTCGAGGAGGTGCCATTTGTTATAATGGTAAAAAGTTAAATCTCTCGAGAGCAGGGATTAAGAAAAACAGTAGCAGGATATGGAGACGAGTTGTATTCTGAATCTTTGATCCGCTCCTTGGCCTGCACGGTTCCCCTTTTGTAGCCGGAGCCCTCACTTGCCAACCTGTCTAGGGCCCACATGCAGTGTACTGACAGACTTGCACTCGTCTCTCTGCCTTAGGCGAGCACTCGCGGCCTCTGCAGTCAGATATCAGCGTTGTGGACGTACGTCCATGAAAACCTAGACCCTAGGGCTCCAAGCAAGCGACACCTAATGATCGGAACGGGTTCCCGATCTTCCGTTAGGTGAAGGTAACTATTGTTTCGGTGGAGATTGACATATCAATTTGGCTTTAGATCAAAAGACTCGAACCCTACAATCTTAGTACCACATCTCCTCTGGTTATCAACATGTCACTAATCCGGTTGACCTCGACAAGAAGGCAAATCTCTACCTGCGAAATGAAGAATACAAGTAAGAACTTGAAACTACGCAGCTCGATGAAGAAGAGAACTGCAGATGTATGATTAAGATCACGAAAGTGTGGGATTTCACAACCGATAACGCCGACTGTTCGAAGACAGATTGATCTAAAGCAAAACCCAAACACTAACAGGTGGTGTGATAACTCAATTTAAGGTCTAAGGATCGTCACCGCCCTAACATGCCTCCTAATGGGCTCTAAGACGATACATGGCCCAACAGACCAAAAGACGGTAAGGCAACATCGATACTGAACCCTGACTTGTTTCAACAATTCCTGTTGACTCCGGTGGAATTTGGACCTCAAACCAAAGTCGTTGGTTAGGTTATGAAATTAGCTTTCCATCTATATATGCATCATGGAAAATAGAGCCCGGATGCGTCCTGAGAGTTTGTTTTAGTGTAGGCTGGCCCTGAAGGCCGAGGAAAACTCGAACTCGAGTTGGACTGGGCCTCCGGCTTGTCTTGGATGTTCTTGCTGATCTTCTCCTCTTCTACACCTTTCTCCAAGTACTTCATGACCCTCTCCAATGCTTGTAAGTAAGATAACATCATTAGGTAGCAATCAATTCTCAAAACTATGAAAAGGATTACTTAAGAGAGCTCACATCTAAATTTAATTATCGCATTCAAATTTGGATCATTGGACCTTATATAACGGTTGGTAGATTAGTTGGTGTATGCGAAGAAGTGATGTCCTCATCACCTCCTACCTAGTCGCGGAAACGGGTGCGACACAACGGACGCGATGTGGCGATGCTGCCATGGTGCCTGACTACCTGATAGTGAGGTCACAAACACCAATGGCTGACTGGAATCGAGAGAGCTCTCATATTATAATTATCAGCAGAAAGAGCAGTCTTTGACATGTTAACAGATAACTCCTTGCCCACTTGATTAGAGATTCAAAATTAAATGATATATTTATGAGCAAATTTGTCGGTGTTTTCCAATAGGAGAAAAAATCCTCAAGATTATGTTGAAATTTGAGATAAACCTAATAGGTTACCAACATTAACTTAAATTATGGATGTCATAATCATCGCAAATTAATACCTATAAATATTAATTAATAAACTATAGCTCTTAAAATTCATAGAAAGGGGAAAATAAATAGATACGTAGTATTATCGTCTCTAATTTATATGAATGTTTGATATATCTTTTTACATGTTACGGACGAGCGTATTTGCTAGTACAATACCATACAAATCACTATCTCCAATAATGACATTACTATCTCCTATCAGGTTGCAACCTTTATGCAGGAGTTTATTCAGGTCAAACCTTGATGTCCATCCAGCGAGAATCCTTCATGTTTTTGAATTTTTGTTCAACTTGACATTGATATCAAACTAACTACGTAGGTCTTGTACGGGATAACTTATTTTAACTACGCTTTCAATCAAAATTAGCTTTTTCCACGGCTAGCTTCCGTAAGAAGTAAAGGGCATTCATCCAACATAACTATTCCTCCTAAATTTACAGAAAAGCTATATGTCAACCAGTTGTTTCCCTTTCATCTGTCAACTGAATTTGTGACCGTCCGATTTGCGCTTGTTTGGCTTGGTGGGCGTCCGATCCCGTATCTGGCGGGCTGCCCTTGCCGCACCTTGCAGGCTCTTCGCCCTCGCGGTTCCATCGCTCCCAAACCGCTGCTGGCACTCCGCCGCCGCCCCCAGGCCAGCCCTCCGGCCTGCCTCCGTTGCTCCCGTTCATCGGCCACCTGCACCTCATGATCCGCTCGCCGCAGTACAGGGCCTTGGACTGCATCCTGGCGCGCTTCGAGCCCCTCGTCTACCTCCTGCCTCAGCCCTTCCACGCACTGCGTCATCGCCGGCATAGCGGACGCTGCACGGGTCCTCCTCAAGCACGAGGCCAGCATTCCGGAGCAGCCGTCACGGTCCGCACCACCACCGGCCACCTAACGTCTGAATCGGACGTAGAAGAGATGGGTTCGATCTGCAATTTGATGATATTTATGAACAATTTGACATATATTCTCTGATATCTGGAATTCATACAATTAATTTGTAAATTTTTCTGAAAAATTTGGCATATATTTGTATTATGCTCAAATTATTATCCTCAAATTACACCATTGTGTCCAATAAATTACACTGAAAAAGTCAGTGTAAATATAGTAATAAGCCAGTGTAAATATAGCTAGAAGACAATGTAGGTGCATGAGAAAAAATTAGTTGATAGGAGGGGTCAAAACAACTTAATGTCGCCTAGACAAATCCTAAATTTAATATATGTTTCGTGAATTGACAATAGGTGCCCACGGTCATTTTGGAGACAGTTCAAGTGAAGTTGCCAAAATATGTGTCGACGTTAAATTGGATCATACACCATCAAAGAGCTAGCATACTGGAGACAGCATACGACCTATCATGCAGTGAGTAAACACTGAAATCAGCAAGACCAGCCAGCAAGCCGGTAAAGCCTATTTGGAGCCCGTTCTTCGCCTGAAAAATTCGGAAACACCTCCCAGAAAGACTCGTTGAGGACACATGCCGAGGTTGTCTCAGGGTCGGCAAAAATATCTAAAACGTTGTCAAGTCCCGTTGAGAGACGCGCCGAACAGCAATGGGCTGGAAAAGTTAGGGTAACAAGGTCGTAGATTGGTTTTTTTATGATTAGATGTTGTATTTCTCAAACCCCTTCGATATATATAGAGTGGGGTGGTGTTATCCCGTAGAAATATATCCAAGACGTAATTTGTAAGTTTTCCACATCGAAACGAGCTGAAAACCGAGTTAGACTCGAATAGGTCTCGGACTAAGAAAACGGCTTAGCCGGATCCAACAGGTCACGGACCAGAAACACCGGCTTAGCCGGATTTTGAAACCGGCTACTCTGGGCTAGGCGGTCGTTGTTGGATGCATTACAGAACGGCCTAGCCGCTTTTGGAATCCAATCAAAAAACTTTTTCTCTTCGTTCGGAGTCCTAACGCGATGGTCTAAATGTCTTTCTTAATCATCTAACTTCATCCGTTGCACGTGTCGGTACATTTTTTTTCTTTCTTTCAACCCCTACTCAAGCCGTGAACCGTAGTATGACATCAATCAGTGCAATTTGTGATGTCGCAGGTACGGTATAGCATCAATCAGTGCAAATGTGCAATTATTACATAGAGGAATTAACTGCACGGTCCAAGTAAACACACCGTAATTGAATTGAACTAGCAAATCATTGTGACTGCCCTATACCAGCTGAAGCCACGGCGCCGCCACCGCCGCCGGCGTAGCAGAGGTCTGAGATTTGTTGGCTTGGAGCTGCACGCTGTCCCTGAGGCGCTGGAGCTGCGAAGTGAAGACCGGCAGCTCGGCCTCGCCGAGCACCCCGACGTCCATTTGCCACCAGAACCGCCTCCCGGACACCTCCACGAGCGCCCTGGTCTGCTCCGTCTCCAGCGCTCTCGCCTCCATAACGGCACGCTCGGCGGCGACGGCGCCCACGTCCTGGAGCGCGGTGAGGCCCTCGCCGGCGTGGAGCAGGGCACAGCGGCGGAGCACGTGGTCGACGGAGGGGGTACCCATCACGAAGGCAATGCTGCCGTCGTCGCGTTTGCGACGGGGCGCAACGGGTACCTCCTTTCCCTCGGGCTCCGTTCTCTTGAAGACGATGATGGCAACACGGGCGCCGCAGAGGAGGTGGAGCTCCGAGGCCTTCTTTAGGAGCCCGCCCTTGCGCTTGCACTGGGTGACCTGGCGGCTTTCCTGCTCGTTTTCTTGCCCGGCTTCACCATTGTCCTTGCCGGCGGCCACTGCTCCTACTTCTTGCTATCTCAGCTCGTTCGCTCGAGGCCCGCCTCCAACACGAACGCGATGGATGCCATGCGCAAGAGGGAGGCCAGGTGTATAAGCAGGGGCAGACTATGCACTATGCAGCACAAGTCAGCCCCAGTTGGTCGACGCCGCCACCGCTGCAGCCTCCCACGGCGTGAGACCTGAGAAAGGGCACTTCTCGTGGGTGACGTTCATGGCCTCCGGAGCCGCCGCTGAGCCATCGCCCGTTCTGCTTCTGCTCGTCGTTGCTGGAAGTGGAAGCTCGTAGAGCTTCGATAGTGGCACGACTTTCTCCGAGCCTCTTCCATAATTGTCCGCACCCGGAGCAGGCCTGTGGGGCTCCGGGAATAGCATGACGTCCTTGGAGCCACTGCCGTTGCTGGGACTCGGAGCGAGCTTCAGGAACAACAGCACGTCTTCCTCTCCCTCCATCTCCGCATCCTCGATCAGCAGACTGGCGGCGACAGTGTTGTCCTCCTCGTACTCCACTCCCACGGACGGACAAAGCAGCGTAGTAGTAGTAGTGTCGATCGGCGACGCAGCGGGAGGCTGCTCGGCTGGGGAGGTGGACGGTGCTGGCTGCGGCTTGTTGCGCGTGGTGCCAGCGAGGGCGTTGCGATGGAGTGGGACTGGGTGGCCGTGCTCGCCGGTGTAGCTGACGATGAGGCTGGAGGGGTCGGTGCGGCAACGCTCCACCTGCTTCCGCGCCCTGCAGTCCTTCTCGGTGCTGCACCGGTAGTAGCCGCGCGGGTACGGCGACCCCTTGATCGACTTCTGCCCGTACTTGCGCCACGCCCAGGGGTCCGGATCCGGAGACGCGCCCACGGGCACCCGCGTCACCTCCTTGTTGCTCACCTGGCTCTTCTTCTTCCTACGAATACAAGCGCGTGAGATCAGCCTATGCCTATCTAAGAGCTGGAGTCGTTCCCAGAACCAGATACTTGTAGTATTTTGCGAGCAAATAATCGAAAATAGAGATTTGGATGGGCGTACGGCTGATACATACTTTCTCTTCGATCGTGTCGGTCCGCCAACGCCGTTATTGCGGTAGGAAGCTCGTGGTTTGGCCGGCGGCTGCTGGGGCGGCGCTTCGTTTCTTGGCTGCGGCGTGGCGAAGAAGGCCTGCTGCAGGGAGAAGTCGTCGACGGCAGGGCCGATCGGGGGCTGCTGCAACGCTGCGGCGTCCGTCAGCTCGTCCTTCTGTGACTGCGGTGGCAGGGGCAGGCAGGAGAATGATTCGTCCGAGGCCCGCGGCGAGGTGACGCGGCTGCCACCACTGCAGCTGGCGAAGCGCACCACGGCGTGTAGGTCCCAGTCGTTGCTACTGCTACCACAGCACCAACGCAGATCGCCCTCCATAGCCCAGCTTCTTGAGTTCGTGACCAATGGAGGAGAGAACTAGCGGACGTTGACTTGCTTGGGGTCGGGGTGGTTGGGTTGTACGGACAGTACGACAACTGGAACCAACTTAAAAAGGATCAACGGGGTGGTTTGCTGGCATGCGCTTTGGTCGAAAATGTCAAAGAGGTGGGAGAGAAGAAATCCAGGGTGGTGGCAACATAAATGGATTTTTCTTTTTTAATGGAGTCAGGATTGAGATGCAGAGAAACATCTACCAGGAGAATGGATTTTTTTATGCCCTTATCGCCCCTAGGGCTATCTTGCACATTCACCTTGCGTCAAGATTGATGCATGAAAGAGATAGGCGAATAAAATGTATAGGTCAAGAAATATTGCATCAAGATTGGTGTTGCAGCGGAGTGAGAGGGAGAAATCAATGGTCAACATAATGCTTATGGCTAGATATGTGCGGCCTTACCTTTCCCCATCTGCCAAGAGTATGGACCAACGACCTAACGAGTATTAGTAGAATTTCTTGGATAGTGGAACAAATATAAAATAAACATATATAATTATACATAGACGCCATATATATTGATTAAGTCGTAAGACGCATATAGAAAAATAGCATATGTGAAGCTAATCTGAGCCTGCTTTGGACCCTCCTCTGCTTTTGGCCTTGCAGAGGCCCAACTATCCACCGCACACATACTCTCCCAGAACTCGGGATCCAAAGCATGAACCACATGCTTTCGCTCCATAGACACATGGCTCACTAAGAACCAAGGGGACGACCATGGAGTGCCAAACATACGGTAGTCCATCACGGACCCGATCCAAAACCCATGGACTATACCGGAGTTCAGATCTAGTCCATGACATGGCTTCACCTTGGCTTGGCATATGTATGTGTCATTGAGGTCATTACTGATCCCTAAACCTTAAACCCCCAACAGACCCTGAGTACATGTGGAGGACTTGGGTGATGACCTCAATGGCAATGAAGGTGTCATATCCCACCCACTTGTAGAATCATATTAGGCTTGCAACTAGATGTTTTTAGCACTCACTTTTGTTATATCTTGTGAATTGGTATGCATGACAGAACTTGTTTGACCTTATATCTTTCTGCAACCTATATCAACCTAGAATACCCGCTATATTAAGCTTAGCACGCTTTACTTACATACACATGATACTTATATTCTGTTAATAGACCATGGACCATGTGATATAATGATTGTGTAGTGTAGTCTGATTGTGTGTGTGGATTAGACACTTGGATAATGAGATATGGTTTGTGTATATATGTGGCTGAGAGATCTCTAGCATGCATTTTTGGTGCGTGGTAAGGGTGTATATCATTGGGCAGAATAGTGTGACTTAGGGCTATTTGGTTGGAGGCTTGATGGGCAAATGCCTGCCAGACAACAAATCATAGTTCTGACATCCAAAAACGGATGTCTAGGAAGCCTGTCTAGCCCAGGCAGCTTTTTGAAGACATCAACCAAATAGGCCTTTAGTCTTCGGATGATGCCAAGTCAGGAAAGTGTGACATGAGCATTTTCTAAGGATACCGCCTTTGACGAGTACGAGTGTTAGAGGAGTTTCTCGGGAACAACGCTTTGTTTGGGCAAGTTTCAGGGTAGGAGGTGCTGATAGTGGGCATGGAAACCTGAGTTTCCCTGTTGGATATGTCTCGCTTGAGTCACTCAAGTTAGCTTAACAAGTTCATAGGACTTTTCTCATACATGCCACATGCTCCTAGGCAGTGGTTAACCAAGGTTAGTTATGGACAATGCCACACCCGTGAGGACGTAGGAGATTATAGTGTGAAGGGGCCAGAGTTGACCTCTTGCAGTTACGAAACATGTAACACTCTGCTAGATATGGGATGCTAGGTTTTACAACCCTAGCATGCCGATTGACTATTCTGAAGGAGAGTGGAGAACGAAGAATGCATGTGTAGTTTTGGGATGTTTTGGGAATGTGTGGAAGGAGTTCGAGATGACATACTTGTCTAAACTTGCTCGCTAGTTAAGTTGAACCCATAGCCAGGTAATAGGTTAAGCCTCTGCATACTACTTTACTTAAATGTTAAGCAATCATACGGTGGGTTGTTGATTAATACAAATCATATAGAAATATCATAGTTTCATGTGAATAATATGATTTCAAACAATAAGGCCTTTGCTTTTGTTCAGACAGTTTTTACTGTCCAAGCATTTCATTTTTCACACGTTAACTTCACCCGCCCACACTTGCCATCAAACTAGCATTCACATACCAGAAAGTATGATAACAACAATACCCATTGAGACGATTTAGTATTACAGTTCAACAGTCATACTAAACTATCAACACAAGAAAAAAGATTGTCCACGCCTACTCCACCACCGCACATGAAAAAGTATATGAAAAAAGCCTCTACCATTTGGAAACAATTTTTACCAAAATATCAGCACAAGGAAAAATATGCAAAATAGATATCTACCATTTGCAAACAATTTTACTCGACTTACCATGAACCATTATAGTTGTTTTAACTTTGTATCAAAACCGGAAAGTTTTAATCGCGACAAGTCGCGCTCGCACCTTTTCGCGCGACCCCAGGCCTGCGTTCGCACAGCATCAGGCCGTGATGGGCTAGCCTAGTTGATCCTCCCTCCCCAGCACAACACCACCTTGGCCTGGGACGTCGCAGCTAGCAGTAGGCCTCGACGGGCAGCCCAATTGAACCTCTCTGTCCCACAGTTTCAGTTTTCTTTTTTTTTTTTTTTTCATTTTGTCTACTTTATTTTTCTTTTTCTATTTGTTAATTTTAGTTTTTTTTTGTCAATTTCAATTTCTTTGCTTTGTAATTTCAGTTTCTATGTTTTTTTTTTTTTTTTCATTTTCTCTTCTTTAGTTTTCATTTTCTATTTGTTAGTTTCAGTTTTTTTTTGTTTCAGTTAAATTTTTCATTTGCCAATTTCAGTTTCAATTTGCAGCAAGTCATGTTTCCTGGGTCTTGTAATAAATGCCTCCAGTTGGCAGCAAGTCATATTTCTCGGCTCATATAGTGGCTCATATAGTTGTTCTAATAATTTGCCCCCAGGTTGCAGCTTGTCTTGTTTTGTGCCGCTACCCGTATTTTTTAATAAATGTCCTTAGTTGACAACAAGTCATGTTTCCTGGATTTATTTATTGTGTTGTATAATAACTTACCTTCCTAATTAGCAGCTTATGCAATGTTTATTTTAATAATTTGCCCCTCCAGGTAGCAATTTGTCTTGTTTTGGTCCGTTACTCTCTTTAGGGTTAGTACCTTTATGTAAATACTGTATAACAAATTTATTATATTCCCATGGTAATAATCAATGTGCATACCATGTAAAAACTTTTATTTTTTTAGTAGAAAGTTTTGTATTACATGGTAGCAACTTCTTTCATAAATCACCTAGCACATTTTACACATAAATTGCTACTAAAATATTTTTTTTCAAAACATAGGCAAGTAGGGTCTAATTTTGTTCGCCTCATCATATAGAATATATCGGTGCAAACGGATGCATCATTTACAATTTATAGCAATTTAAATAAAATATCTTGCTTTTTTATTTTCTTGTGTCAGCATGCATGCAGCTGCAGTGAAAAGATTCCAAAAGAGGGGGGGAGTGGGTCCGAAAGAGTGTTTTTTTTACAACTAGTAGAAAATAGACCTTTCATCCGAGGCTAAAATGGGCTTTAGTCCCGGCATTTTTTGCGTCCGGGACTAGAGAGACCTTTAGTCCCGGTTGGTGTCTCCAACCGGGACTAAAGGTCCATGCCCAACGGCTACTGCGCTCGGCACAGTGGCAGGGGACCTTTAGTCCCGGTTGGAGACACCAACCGGGAGTAAAGGTGGACCTTTACTCCCGGTTGGAGCCACCAACCGGGACTAAAAGTCCTCAACCTTTAGTCCCGGTTGGTGTTACCAACCCTTTAGTCCCGGTTGGTAACACCAACCCGGATTAAAGATTTTTTAGTCCCGGTTGGTGCCACCAACCGGGGGGACTAAATCCCCGATGGGTTAGTTCAAAGGAAGCATCCCATCTATTGTCGGATGTGTTGTGTAGGTGGGGTGGTAGTTACGCATGCGAGGCAATGCATGAGGTCTTGGGTTGAATCTCGGGGGCTTGCGGTGGGAGATATTATTTTTTTAAATTTGGGAGGACCTTTAGTCCCGGTTGGTGTTATTTCTAAAGGACCTTTTTAGTCCCGGTTCCTGACCCGGGACTAAAGGACCCCCCTTTAGTCCCGGATGCTTACTCCCGGGTGGGGAACCGGGACTAGAGATGGTTCCCCACCGGGAGTAAAGCCCGTCTCTGTTGCTGTCAGTAAGGTTACAGAGTTCAGATTTCAGATTGCAAAGCTTGCCATAATGAGCATTGGTTTACATCAGTGGAGTAGCAACAAGAAGACTCAAAAAGTATATGCTAAGATTCTGAGGCTGAGAGTGCCTGCCTAGCTAGTGCATCTACTGTGGTATTGAGGCTCCTGGTAATCTTGAATAGCCTGCATCTTGAGTGGATGGAGAATAGTTGTGTAAAATATTTGATTCTCCAGTCAGGTGGGTAACTTTGATCAGCGGCATTGAGAAAGTGAACAAGCTGTTCACAGTCTGATAAGAAGTTGACATTGGTTAGATTCATGCAGTCGGTGACAGTCGCTGCTAAGGCCAGCGCCGCCGATTCAGGCATGAGTACTGAACTAGTTCCTGTTAGTTTCGCCTTGATGTAGATGGTCTGCGTCGGTTGCACCTGTGTGTTGACAATAAAAACTCCAATTCCAGCCTCTCTTGGCATCGGTGATGATTGAACAGGAAGCATAGATGCATCAGAATAGCATCCGATGGTTTGAAGCAGGGCTGGTGTATGGATCGTGTACCTGTTCGTCGTCCTGTTGGTCCTGTTGGTGGTATGTGGTTGATTTCCTGTCAATGAATAATTCATACCTGAGGGTCCACTTTCACTTGTGGGTGACAGTGGTCCCTGGTG